TCCATATTGGTTCTAACATAAGCTTTCTTTCTATGACCTCCTAGGTTACATTCATGTTCTAAACTCATTAAAACAGTTTTACATATCTTAGTGTCATTAAGAAAGTCTTATCCTTGATACACTGTAGAAGTTCAGGTGTGTGCTTCCACAAATTTCTGCCAGGTGTCAGACCCTTGGAAATCCAAGGTGCACATCAGGTAGAACCAAATCTTCTTGCTTTTTCTTGTGAAATTAAAATGTACCATTCTGTATAGCAAAATCCAGGTTCAGGAACTGCAGCCACAGTTGAAAGGAGTATTGTCCTGTTTGCTGACTAATTTTGCAAGTTCAAACAATTAAGTCAATAGCATCATCACAAAAAAGGGTCTCTGTGTAACAGCCAAGCAACAGTTGCACATGCCATTGTTCTGGCAAGGACCCACAAGTTTATTCTTTGCTACCGTGTTACCTATAAAAGAAGAGGAAAGAGTTACCTACATATAATCGATCAAACAACAATGACAATACGAGCTTTGTCGCTGCAAAGGAACTGTACACGTTAATACATCATGAATGAACTTGGGCCAGCCATACCTTTATACCTTGCACAGAAACAGAATCTATATGCAAATGTTAATTACACTGTAATTCAATAATATAAGGTAGATTTGCAGATAAAGAAATGGCATTTACTATTAAATTTGCCACCAACATCTCACGGAAATCTCCTTCTGTCTTATGTTGCTTAGCATCATTTTCAACACCAATGCCTACAGCACAAGTGTACAACTTACATCCCAAATGACCATTCATGCAAACTTCTACTGGTTCCCAGCGGCCCATCTTATGGGAGGGAACTGGGGTCAGATAAAACATGGTCTGCAGAGGGGATGAATTGTTCTTGCAGCAGAAGCCAGTCCCAGATAGCAACTCTTCCACAGGACCCTGTGGTCTCTTCCCCTCACAACCATATGCACACTCATTTGGGTGCTTCAGTGATGTACGTGCAAGCTTTAATACACACACAGAGTGCACAAACCCAGTGGGTTTGGCTTCATGGTGAGGACAGGTCACGTCAGATTTACTGTCCTGGAAATGGATGAGAATAGGCAGCCTGCAAGGAGGAAAGCTTTGTCAGCTTTCCTCTGTGGTGTCTAGACGTGTTACAAAACTAAACGGGCACTCAGCATAGAGATGTTTCTATTTCCTTCCCTGAGGTAACTGATGCAAGATATGAGCTCTTCAGCTTTTCACATTTTAACTGTCCCACTCAGCTACTAACTATTCATCTAAATACTGTGTAGCATCAGGAGTCTTCTGCGCTTCATATATATATACATATCATATACTTCAAGTTACTTTAATATTTTCACAAAATTAAAAGACAGAGGACTTAAAATTCATTGAATGGCATTTCCTCTTTCAGTGTATAATTAACCTGAAGAAGGTATTGTCCCAACTATCACTGATCCCAGGGTCTTAGAAAGCTTTAAAAATTGATTAGAAATGTAAATGGTAATGAGATCATCTTTGTTACATAATATAGAAAAAAAAGTTTAATATGGAATGGATCTCAATTCTCATGTTTTAGACATAAGCCAACTATTAAATTGGAAGAATTTCATGCACGTGTACATTTTCTATAATTGTCCACAAGGGTTTTGCTATGTCTTTCTGAGTTAAGTATCCCAGTACTGAGACACACAGGCTGTCATAGGGTTTGGATTACCGGGCATAGTCAGATAAGACCGTTCATACAGCTCTGTGTGTAAAGTTTTAATAGTGCACTTGGTACAGATTTTATTGACAGAGCTGAGTTTGGACAAATCTTTGGTTCATTTTTAAAATTTAAAAAAAAAAAAGTTATATCATATTTTCCTTTTCCCTATAACAAGGGAAATTTTCTTTCTATTCTATTTTCCTTCCAGTTCAATATTACCTGTGCCACAAGCTTTTGTTCAGAATCTGGAGTCTCTATTACTCATGACTTTTATGCCACTATATCTTGGTAGACCAAGAAAATCCCTCACAAATCAGGCAAAATACCAACAGAGGAAATATGGATGCCAGGACAGATTCTGTAGTACAGCTTTTGCTGTCTAGCAAGCAGACATCTACATGTAAGCTTGTCATCTAGGACTTCCTCGAGGTACCATAGAGAGAAAGAAGTACTCATGTGAACACTCCTGTGGATGGGTGCAGTCACATTGTGAGATTGTTTCTCCCCATGTCATTTTAGAGAATCCTAAACAACTCAGCTTGGATGGAAACCTGCCTGCAGCTGGGCACAATGAATCTCACAAAACCTTAGATAAATCATGTCCTTTATTACTTGGACCAATAAAGATGACAAACTTCATGATTTCAGACTTGTTCTCAAGAGATATGATAATACTAAAAGCTCACTACAGGAGTACAACAACGTGGTGATAGTATGACAAGTCTTCAGCTTTTAAAAATGTCATTACTATTAAGGATATAGCTGTATCAATATCTCAGCCTCCAAAAGTGACTTGTCAGGGTTCACTTGTTAACAACACAGGTAAACGCATGGAAAAAGCTTCTATGGGTCAAACCCAAAGTATTTAGAAGCATGAAAGTATTTCCCTGAAGTATCCACACATAAAATACATACAGCAAACAATGGAAAAATTTCTAGCAAAGAGTAATTAAAAAGGGAGAGACTGAGACACCTTTTTGAGGGACCTGCCCTTCAAGGAGCACTGCCTGTTCCCTTCTCTAACATGGCCAATCATTTGTTAAAGGTTAGGACTCTCTTGTGTCATTTCAATGTCACCACTCATTTCATTATTTATATCTACATTTATATTGTTGCAATACCCCAAGACCCCAATCAGAATCAGGATCTCCCTTATGCTGTTGCTAACCGTATATACAAGAAAATACAGTCCTAGCTTAACATGCTGAATTCTAAAACAACACAAGGCAATGAAAGGAAAACGCCACACAAGGAAAATGAACAGTTCTCATGCCAGTAATATAGTAGAATGATTCACATCTAAGCAGAAGTGCAAGTTGTTTGCTTATCCTTTCAATTAAACATCCCTCAAAGAAATCTCTTATGGTGATAAAAATCAATGAAAAATGCATTATTCCACATCCCAGCAAAGTAGAGCATGACTTTAATGAAACAACATTTGCACTCACATTACTACAGTCTGCTCTCTGTTAGACCCACACAAACTCACTGCAGTTGATGAATTTGCACAGGTCTAATTGCAGGCAGGACGATTTGTCCCATTCTAGCTTAAAAAACAAAACAAAACAAAAAATCCCTTAACTCAACAGAATGCATTACTATATTCTGTAGTTTGCTCATTGCAATATTTGTCATGGATAATAAAATAAATGATCCACGCCAAATTTGCCCTTTTATTAGTAAACTCCCACTGACTCAGGCTGCCTCTTTTCACTGTTTAAGAGCAAGAGTCATGAACACAGGCTATACGACTCGTGCTCAGTTGACCTCAATGAACTAAAAGGCAACTGCTCATAGGAAGGGACAGACAGCTGCATGAATGAGGACTTGATGCCTCAGGACTTCAGTCATCAATGCCAACATAAAGTTCTTTCTTCTACCCTTCATCCCCCTAGTATCTATTGAAGGCATCAAGGATATTTAACCCTGGCTTACTCTTTTCCAGTAAGGACCCTTTAGTCTAAAGCGTCAGCTCTCTTCTGGTACATCCAGAGATGAAGTTGTCTTATTCAATATCTAGAACTCCTACTTTGCCAGTCTCACCCTTCAGTGTGATGCTACAACACTGCCCCTTATCTATAGATCAGTAGTTAAAAGTCAGTGGCTCTAAAAAAAATTTAAAGGCTGAGTATAACCCCTGTCTTGCAATAACTGACTCTCAGTTACCCATACTGATTCTAGAGCATGCAGGTCAACTTTCGGGTGTAGTATCCATCACAGAGAACAGCAGAACCTAGGCACACTATAGACTACATCTTTGGCATTTGATAAATGGCATTGATTTGCATCAATTCCACTCATCTTAGAAACAGGAGTAGGGTTTTTCAGACTGGTTTGGTCAGCTTGCTTGTCCAGCAAGCCTGCCACTGTGCAATGTCTGTAGCTGGGCTTTAGACCACCACTACACCACCACAGCTGCCCAAACCATCTAATTTTCTCTCTTTCATCCAGAAATTAGTACTGTTTTCACTTCTTAGAACAGCCATTATTAAACAACATTTGGTGTCAGTATTTGCTTATTAACTCAGACTGTAACCTAATCAACAACGTTCATTCCCAACTAGAAGAGGCTGTAAAGGAAAAAAGCTAAGCATATGTCTTTCCTTGCTATTGCCTGCTAAAGACTCCTGTTGTATGATATATTTAGATATGCAGTTTGCTATGACTTGTTGAACTTCAATGCACTGAACTCATTTTAGATTGTTAAAGCAGACAGAGGATATGGTATTTTCTCTCTGCTGGCCATTAATTAGGACAGCAGAGCAAAGTGCTGTTTTAAAAACAGGCTGTCTAACAGGATAGCCTGTAATTAGAAATTATCTGAACCAGCCTGATTTCCAGTGGTTCTCAGTGTCCCACAGTTTCCACTGACGTCAGTGCAGAGTCTCAACAACTCCCAAGATAGGCTGCTACTTTCAAAAGCTAAAGTAGCACAGGAATCTAACTTCAGGTGACACTGGTAAAGACCTTGGATCCACGTACTCAGTCTGCAGATTGAAGAATTGATCCTGGAACATGATTATCCCTCTAACACTTGTCACGACAGAACAGTTTCTTTGCTCGCTAAAGACTGAAGCAGGGCTTTCTTCAGTTTGACTCCAGCACCCAATAATTTAACTAAGCTAGCAGTGAAGGGGCAGTTCTGACCCAATATTTCCCTCTCTGAGAACAATTGCATTAATCACCCCTTTCCAAAACATTGAGGAGTCCAGTACTGGTGCTCACACCCACAGATGCAATGCAATAAGCAAGTGCTATCAGCAGACTGCCACCTTTAAATATAGGTGATCTCTGTACTTGCCTTTGTGGTTTTGACTTTATTTCCACTGCTGCATGACCAACCTGAATAGTCTGGTAGTACTTTACAGTCCTCTCCATCCAAACAGGGGTTCATATGACACCACCACTTCTGTAGGACAATGGAAGCTAGAAAAAGAAACAGAAAAGAGAAACAGAATACAATCTTTTTTTAATTACTGTTGGGTTTAGTAGGGAGGTTGTCTGTGCAATGCTCAATTGTTTGATTTTAAAAGGTAGAACCAACAGTTACTGTTTTAATAGCTAATCACACTGCTTATGTTTGAGCTAAGAATGTAGCTAAAACAACTTCACCAGCACACAGAAGGGTAAATGCCATATGCTAATGGTGAAGACAGGCAAGAATCTGCAACATTTGAACTGACCTCTGGAAGTGCCTTTCTGCCTCCACTGGCTACAAAGTTGACTTGCCTCCTTCATTTACATGTTTCAGTCAAGTACCTGCTATAAGGCGGAATGAAACTAAGGCTTCTTTTTAACCCAGATATGCACATGCGAGACTGGACAAAGAAATGCCAGTTTCTCCCTTCACTGGGTGAGAAAATAGAATTGCACAGAGATGTAAGCACGTGGGGTCTGTCAGAAAATAATGCAGATAAGAATGTGGAAAGCACTGGAAAGCATTAGATTAGCTAAAAATCTACTTGCAGTTACACTGCCAGGTTTGCAGTATGTATTGGAAGACTACAGTAGTACACCTTAACTGTGCAAATTTATTAGTTTTCTACCCTTAAGCCAACTTCCATTAATAAGACCATGTTTGTTATTTTTACAAATGTAGTCACAACTTTATAACGCTGCTGTTAACAACAGATACACTTTCCCACAAACAGCTGTGAACATCTGCATGCATTTCTCAGTTTTGCATTGTTCATGGGATTCATCAAATCTCAGAAAATTATGAAATATATCAGTTCATAATCTTACATAATCTAAATTGGATTTCAAAATAAAATATGGCTTTAAGTGTTGATTTAGTTAGCCTGCATTATGCTGCTATGTGCACAAAATATTGAGTCTCATGCTTTAAAAGATACCACATCCAAAAGAGATGAAAAAAAAATTAATCTACTTCTTGTAAAGCACTTATTTTTCCTTTTAATTTCAAGGTAGATTCGTATTGCTGCCACCTTCAAATTAGGGTGACAAGCAGGCAAGCTGACATCAGGATATTGCTGAAACGTTCACTCAATTACTTTTGTTTTGCACTTTCACTCTAAGCCTACATGAAAAGCACTATGAAAAATATACGTCTGGAACACCAGTTTGGCTTTTATAAAATATTCTTTGAATCTCATAAACCTATAAAATAAATGCATGATTCCTTTCATCAGTCATTTGGATCTTAGATCATTTGCGTTGATGCTGAGTGATTGTTGACAAATTGGGTGAAACTTGACCGTGCCTCCTGGAACGTGAGGGATCATTTCCACACCAGACATATGGTCCGGTCATCTATTTTATCCATTTTACCTCTGCTACTATTTAATATTTTTTTTTCAATTTCTATACCACATTTATTTCAGGTAAACACAAGCAAGTCTAAAAGGCTAGATTCAAGAAGACTGAGAGCATGTGCAGAGGTCCCTAAGCAAGCAGGAGATCCTGGTAGCAAGCTAGCTGTGTCTTCAGAGCTCTGCTTCAAAGCCAGCAAGTCCTCCTGGGAGGCCTGGCTACTGTATCACACAGCTCTGCACAGTGCTGTTGTGAGCATGGATGTGGTGACATGCTGGGACTTTGCCTGCACCCTGACATGTGAATGAACATGCTTTCATCTATTTAGTGCTACCCTAAAAACATAAGTTCAAACTTCGGACCTTTGAAAACCACCTCTCACTCACCTGTCTCCTTCAGATACCTAGAATCCCTTGTGCCTCAGTTATTCTGGTAACAACTTAGATCCAAGCTTTTGCATATTGGTTTGGGTGCAATATGTTCTGAGACCACATAAAATGCACCAAACATAGCAGCTTTTATTTATACAACCTGCATCAACCTGCTTCTAACACCTGATTTAAAAAAAAAAAAAAAAAAGGCAGTTGACTGGCCAAAAGTGCAGCACAGGAGTGGGTTCGCACAGCATTCTTGACCAATTGTGCCCATGCAACTTCTGGTCCATGTGGAACTGCAAGACCAACCACGGTCCATGTGGAACTGAAGTACGTAAGACAGTGAAACTGTCCCATCATCTCCTGCAGTACCATCTTCCATAAAAACAAGCACAGATGTGAATGAGAACCATTGCTGGGTCAATCTGTAACTCAAAATCCACAAGCTCCTCAACAGACTGCATATTTCACCTCCTATTCATCTCTTGTTTAGACACTTTCATAGAAAGTGACTCCTACCCTTCTGTTGGCTGATCTCTATTCTGTGCAGATACCTCTCCTCAGAGTAATGGCAACACTTTGAAATACTTAATACAGATCTCATTCCATTAGCTTCCAGCAATTCTCCAATTCTTCGCTGTAGCAATCCACTAATTCTCACATCCATTTTACGTCCAATTTCTTTGTAGTTGTAATGTCCACTCTGCTGATCTCTATGTCCTAACTGGCTGTAGCTGTTTGTGTCAAACATACCCCTGAGATTAGTCTATTAAAATTCTCCATCAGAGCCTCAGGCTCATCTTCATAGCTAGAGTCCTTTATTATTGCTCCTGTGCGACTCACTGGAGGATGTAAAGGATTCCTCCTCTTTTCAGATTCAGACATTCTTGGAGAGGTTTCAACAGATGACTTCTCTAAGAAATGAGAGCAGCTGCCACTCTCATACACAGCCACCCACATGAAGGGAAAGGAGATGGCTTTAGTTTGACATTAGCCAGCTGATTTGCTGGAAATGAGCCAGAAAACAGCCAGAAACCCTGCCAGAAATAAATCTTCTGCTGACATCGCTCCCTAGATAACCTGAATCCATGGAAACAGTAGGTTCATGGAGAATAAAGCCAAAAGGTGTCAATACATGATCTCATCTTGTCTCAGGCAATTCACTGTGTTGTGCCCCCAGTTGTGTTTGGCTACACAGTATCCTCCAAGCTAATCTGGAATAGGTGAAGAAAGAAACTTCTCCCATTGTTTAACTGTCAGAAAAAATGACAATCTCAGTATGAAACAGAGAGGCTTCGTTTTCTTCCTCTTGCCACATCTTCTGTTGTGGTGTCTTCTCCTACATTACAGCACCTGTTAGCAATCATCATTTTCTCCCTGTGAAGGTATTGAACGTGCTGCAATCCAGCAACTTTTCAATCTTCAGCCTCATAAACTGAGCTGATTGAACTTCTTCAGTTTCACACCGAAGCACAATACTAGTGCTCTTCTAGAATACCCCAAGTATTCTGAAATACGTTTTGAATTACAACAACTGACCAGAGATCTATTAGTCAGCTTGTGAGGACTCTAAACTACGCAGGATCAGAATTAAAAAAAAAAACAAAATTTTATCCCAGTAGATGTTGGTTAGCACCTTCTGTAGTTAACAATAAGTTAAAAAATTACTTCCTCATCCTGTTACTTACCAAAAAGAGAATTGTGGTAATGATCCACCTCAGCATTAACAATGTCAATATTTCACGCATTATGGGGCTTTTTTTTTTGAAAAAAGGATTTCTGTGTGTTCTCTTTGAGCAAGCAAATTCATATTGTCTTTAGTCTGGACAAGTCTTTCCTACTCCACTGGATTAAGCTTTCTTCCATATAATTTTTCAGTACACAATTCATTCTACTGTGTATTTCCTTTTTTTCTTTGAATACTGACATAGCATTAGCATCCTTTTGAATTCTCAAGTATTCTGAAATCCATTAAAAAGCAGTGGGAGGGAAATCTTCTCCGCTATTTCTTCTTTTATCTATTTCTTATGTATTGATATTTTGTTTTCTTATTTCTGTATGCTCTCTTCCCTTCAGTCTGGAACCTGGATGGGCTTTCAGGCAAACTTGTCTTTTTTTCTTCATTATGGCTCTTTAGCCCTACAGAAAATTCTTAAACAATTCTTTAGTCCCATTCACATTTTTTCCAATCTGAGTGTTTCTTCCTCATAAATTCTAGGACTAATAGAATTGCCTGGATGGGAGATTATTTGGCTAGTGATGATTTACTTAGAGACATTTAACACACTTATCTGAGATAGCTACACTACAGACAAAAGTTATTAATGTTTTATCTTCTTGGCAGTAGCTGTTAGACAAGCTGGAGGTAATTACTCAAGGATGTTTATTTCCATAAAGAAAATGGGTATAAACAAAATCTCATGACTACTTTAAACGTAATTTAGTCATTGACAGAAGAACGGGTTGACCTTCGCTAAGCAAAATTTTCTATAGCTGCCATCAAGTAATATAGCTACAACTCAAGGCAGGGTATACAGGCTGTGTAGTATGTCCTCTCTGCATATTTAAATACTTTCTTTCACATGCTCTGCTTTTTTCTGAGTTTAGTGGCTCAATTTATCTACAGTAACATTTCTCAAAGTATCAGATGGGCCTGTGTTTGGAAGCTCAAATAACCCCCAGGAAAATGAGGTATGCACATGTACAGAAGAACTAGCCTTACTTTTTTTGTTTGCCAATGCTTGTCAATAGCTTTCACAACTCAGTTCAAATACACAAATGACAGAGTTTCTTATTGTATGCATCCAAAATGCAATTATCTAAATAAGTGTGTTATCACTGGCAAAGGATAAAAAAATATCCTGACCCAAAGAGTTCTTACCCTGTACTCTCATCTAGGCTATGGCCAGTGAGTTTACTGTGCTTGTAAAAATGCTAGTTAGATCTCAGTCTATAAATATCATTGATTTTCACCTTCATGTCCTTCATTTTAAATGAAGTACTTTGACTTCTCATACTACAAATATTTAAAGTTTCCAAGTTGAAAGACACTGTAGAAATGCAAAGCACCCTATAAATGTCAGTTAGGCCTCACACCACCAGTAAGTATTACTGCACAACATGGAAAAGGACTGATTTGTAGCAATCAAGGCACTTAAGACTTTCACTTTATGTATTTGCAAGATTTAACTAGCTTTTACTTTCCTTTCTGCAGCACTTCAACACCTTTTCCTTGGAAATCACCTGGATATCTATAATTTCTTCTGTAGCACCAAAGTACTTCGTTTCCTCCTTAGCATGTATCATGAGAAAAAAATTCACTTCTATGTGTAGGTGTATGCCTGAATGGAATTATGCAAACATCCATTCTGACCTGGCTCAAATAGGGGGACTTCCCGAAATTTTGGTAGCTGTGAATATTGCTACACGTATTCACTGCCTTTTTGAGCAGGGCTTAGCCTTAACATTGTGTTGCTCCAATAAACTGCTGCTTTAAATCTGACCTTGTGTAAAATTCTTTAGCATCTGTCAACCTATTTCAAAATGTAAATATCCAGCTGGCCTATGACTGTCAACATGAGAGGCTGATCTCATCCTATTTACTATTGTTTTCCACCATGACTTGCACAGAGTTATTTTCCTTTTGAGTGTGTGTAGAAGAGGCTAAAATCCAAATGGATTGTATTTTCTAAATCCAAAGAGAACATATTTAATCTTATCTGCTAGAAAAACTACTAAGCGTTAAGCTGCTTTTACTAAGAATTCCAATAGGTAAAAGAATCTCTCTGTGTATGAATAAAAATTGTGTAGTTTGACACAACAGGTGGGTGGTACTTTCTGGACACATACGCATGAATATGAACTACCCTGTTTTCTTATTTTGTCCAAACACAGCCTAGCACATAAGTAATTTGAGGGTTGTCAGTCACTGGAACAGGCTCCCCAGGGAAGAGGTCACAGCACGGAGCCTGTCAGAGGTCAAGGAGCATCTGGACGACATTCGTAGTCATATAATTTAGTTTTAGGCAGTCGAGCAGGGAGTTGGATTTCATGGCCCTTATGGGTCCCTTTCAACTTGAGATATTCTATGATTTGAGGCAGGAACTACAGGTACCAACTACCGTGTGCATGCCATGCATGATCTACAGCACAGAAAATTGTTGTCCTAATGTAAAAGATAACTACTACAGGGTAAGGTCTGAAGTTCAAAGAAAATACTTTAAAAGACTACTACAAGCCAATTGCTCTATAAAATCTTTTCTTTTGGTTAGAAAGTAACTCTGTGATTTGGCCATGTCCTTCCTTTTAAGCTCAGGGCAAAATATAGGCAAATTAAACAGCCTCGCATTTAGTAAAAAGGTGCTGGAAAAGAAAATGAAATGCCTGTATCAGACTGAAATATGCAATATTCTGGCTTCCACAGTGTAGAAGTCTGCTGAAGAATTTGTATAGAGAAGGGGAAAACACATCTAATCCTGAGGCTAAAGAAAGATAGTTATAGTTTCCATGCTACAGCAACTGAATAACACTGACTGTAGTCCCAGATGCTTGCAAAAATAAGCGAAGCATGTCAAAGCATCACCCTAAGGGGTGAGGGGGAATCAAAGGATTCCACTTTAGAAACCAAAATCTTACAGTCATAATATTTTGTAGTATTTAATTTCAACTATACTTGAAGAAAAAACAGCTACTAAATTCTTTCAGCAACTATTTGCATTGTCTGAATTCAGCTTCTACAGTATTTGCATTTATATCTTTCTACCATAGAATGACAGTGTCACCTTTGCAATCCTTAAGTGAGTTTAAAACAATGCCTGACGTTTATTATCTATCGTATGTAAAAATATTTCTGCTGTTTGAAGTGTCACTTAAAAATACAGAAGGTATTTCTGATTTGGCAAGAAAACTACTTAACAAATTGCACAGCTAAAGTTGATTGTATTCCTGAATTACAAGGCATGAAAAGACTAAGCATCTAAAAAACAAATTAAAAAAACCCAAACCCAGAAAATCTGCTTTCTTAAATATGAGGGTTAATAGGTTAAAAGAATCAGGTATGTCGCATATGTGGAGAGTTTTCTGTTTAAAGCTAAATATCTCTGAATGTTAGATTAAAAATTAGATTTTGAAGCTTTTTTTTTATATTTAACTTGTAATGGTTGAAATTTTCTGTGAAAAAGAATGATGAAAACAGAAGAGTCTTGCTTACGGATTGATGAAATGGGGCATCTGGTAACTTTTAGACTTTTCTTAAAAACAAAACAAACAAACAAAAAAAACCAAACCCAACACAAAACTGTCTTGGAGTAACTGTTTACTAAGTTAACAACAAGAGCAGCAACCTCTCCAAGGAATAGACTCTGCTGGTGAGAAAAGGAAGAATGGTAACTCACAATTTCTGAACTGCTAGTAAGACAGAGGAAAATGGTGGAGATGAGGTGCAGAATGAACCTTAGGGAGACAAGTTTTATATAGCCTCAGAATGCGTGGTCAACATTACAATCAAGGTTAGATTTTAGCTTTAGCATATATAATCAACTTAATTTCAAATGAGTTCTACTGCTAAAAGAGCAAGGATGGCAATGTTCAGCTCTGTGAGGATTTCAATATCTACCCAGGAAGGTGATGGATTAAGGCAACTGTACCACATTTTTTCTTCATCAGGTAGGCATCCTAGCTCAGAGACTGTGTCCTGTGCAGCAGCACACTTGCTCTGCTCTCCAAACTCTAACATATTTTGGGGTTACAACACACGAAACTGAATAGATATGGGGCATCACTAGCTCACTGGTGTCCAGTATAAGAGACCATTAAGCACCTAAAATGGTGAAACATTCATCTAGAGAACAAATCTCAAAATCAGATGTCCCAGCACTATCTGCACGCCTAGTCTTAGGGCTGCATTTATTATTCAGTGAATTTTTAGCCAAGCTACTAAGTCTAAAGACAACTGGAAGGGTTAATATCATAAGCTTGAGTTTTTTGTCTTATGCTGTTTTCAGACTAGTTTTAAAGGAGAATTCTTGTGTGAAAAAATAAAGAAGTTTTATTGGCACAGACATGAAATGGACGAGTACATATATTAAGAGGATTAATTACACCCAGATTTATGCACAGACTCATTATCATGAATGCACAGAGATGTTTCCAAAATTAATAAAAGGAAGGATTATGCTTTTGAGGCAGTGGGAAGTCAAACAATCAAGGAGACTAAACTTCTCAAACAATCTTAATGAACCATGAGTGAGCGGGAGACCGCTTACCTTCCACGCACGAGGGCTGAGCTCTTGTCGTACCAGCCACCTGCCCTGGGAAGCAGGAGCACTTGACTGTTTGCGATCTTTCTTCAATCCGGTTCTTATTGCAGCAACGATGCACTGCCACAACTTCACATGTCCCTTGCTTGACTTGGTGCTGGCCTAATAATTGCAGAGATAAATGATGGAGAGCAAAACAAAACATCAGTGCATAAAGAAAAAGTCAGTTCATACAGTCCTGCAAGATACTGAATCTTTCAAACAACAGTTTAAATCACAGAAAGACGAAGGGGCAAAGCATCTTGTAGGATCTGGCTTATTCCTTGAGTTTATTCTATTTGTAATAATAAAGATTAGTTCATCATAACAAGTCAATTTTTCAATCTATCTTTCCTGGCCCTTACAAAGCCATAGGGAGAAAAGGAGATTGGAGTAGTCAATTAGATGGATTAAACAAGATGACATGCAGAGACAGAGCGCAGTCCTCCTTCCTTTGGCTTCCTGTCTTGCACTAGGTTTTACATTTAATTCTTTCCCTTTGTAAATGGACACAACGGACAGGATAATGTTTAATGCAAGGGAAACTTGTCTTAAATAGTAGGGAAACTTGCTAACATAACAACATGTAAGCAGTGCTTGCTATGCCTATCATTGCAGGTAGGCTAAGAACAAGGTAGGCTGAAAAGCTGTCATAGATAGTCAAGTTTTGTCAAAAAAACCCCAAAACAAACCCACAAAAAACCCAAACCAACAACCCAAAAAAACCCCGATACTATATAGATTTCTTTAGTTCCCTTCTCAGCCTATTTTGAAGAAACCTATGATAAATATTCCATCCTATTGCTTTCTTAAGTGCCTTTCCTCACATTTCACTATCCCCTATTCCTCTGAGTTTATTTTCCCCTTCCTCTCCCTCCTTGCTCCTGCCTTCACACCTTAACTCCTTTATTCCTTGCACCTGACCATTTTCGTCCACCACCAGACCTACTCTCTGCCCTCCCTAAAACCCTTTCTCAGAAACCCCACTTCACAAAACCCCTCTCCTCTTTGCATAAGTCATTTCAACGTCCTCACTTTCCTGAACAGCCTTCAAGTGCTTCATCTTGCATTTGTCTCGTCTTATTTAGAGTAGAGCCTTGGATGGCTCTTATCTATGTTTGTAAAGCACCTTGTAAATTAACAGCACTACAGAACAGGGTGGGTTTTTTCATAAGTGAGCTAGACAGAGCGACAACGCTGAGAATAATAAAAATATTCACCATCAAAGCAGTACAGGCTCCTTATATGAGAAAAGACTACAGTGCAAATATTGGAGTAGGTGTGTGTTATATCAAACGTACAGCAGCCTAAAGAAAGGAACGTGAAAAGGAGAGCACTTCAGAAAGACAAAGACAATCCCACAAGTGGCAAGCCTGGAGGACTGTCCTGTTTCCCATTGACTCCATGCTTGCCCTGGTTTTGGGGGGGTTTGTTGGGTTTTTTGGTGGGGGTTTTTTGTTGGTGGTGGTTTTGTTTGTTTGTTATTTTTGGCTTGGGTTTTGTGTTTTTTTACAGTATCTGGTGTTACTAACACCAGACAGAGGATTTTGAGATAGAGAACACCTTGGTCTGATGCAATGTAGCCAAGCTTACATCCTTACAGATGAAATCTTGAGTGATTAAGATCACTGTAGGTTTTCGGCAGAAACTTTTATTAAAGTGAGAAATCTTAAACTTCAAAACAGTTAGCAATGCAATTTAGACTTCTAAAGGGGTTAAAAAAAAAAAAAGGAGAGTATTCAAATTATGTATATAACTTTTTAAAAGGTTAGCTTGGCAATGTTCCTTCCCTGTGTGTTTTTTGGTTTCACAAGTATTTCAAAAGCACATCTAAAGGGCTGCCTGACTTTTGTCACCAAATTTGTATTCACAAGCACCTCAATGGACATGAAAATATATATATGCAATCCTGGAAAGGAAATATAGTCTTCTATTTGTGCACTCAACATGTAAAAAAAGAATTATATATGCAGAAGCGATTTTTGGGATTTTTTTTCCAGGGAAAATGCTACACTGTACTTTTAAGCAAAATATGCTACAGCAGAAAAAATGCATAATTTATTTTACAGAAAGTTGGAAAAATGTTGAAGACAGCATAAAAGTATCTTACATAGCTACTGTAATAAGTTTATTGGCAGACTGTGAATTTTCATGCAAGTAACTAATACCCATATCATCTACTAGCTTGTAAAGACAGTAGCTCCTCTGTAAGTCAATATGGAAAATAAATACAAAACCAAAGAAATTAAATTGGCCGTGCTACTTCATTCCAAAGTGCTGTTCTACAAAACACCTTGCCTGACAGCATTTGGAGATAATAAGCAGATGGCCAGGGGCTCTAACTGAAAAGATTTTGTAAAACGAGGTTGTAAATTCAAGAGAGTATATTTATTTATTTATTTATTAGATCTACAGCCTGAGTCAAAACCCTTTGGAGTGCAAAGGGAAAAGTCCAATTGGTTTCCTACAGTGCTTACAGGGGTGGTCCTGCACTCACTGGAGTCAACAAAATTTCTATTGACTTCAGGAGAGCAAGGTCACAGTCTGGACTGTCTCTTGAGAAGATTTTGTAAGGGAGGGAATAAAAAGCAAAAATTTGGAACTGCTCAGGGCACATACTTAAGTTCGCTATGTATCTCATCTGAAAGACCAAGTGGCCAGGTCTTCTTTTTAATTAAAGTCATTATTCACCAGACATCAGATGCCAAGATAAGAGTAGAAGCCATTTTTTCAGAAGGTACATCATAAGGATGGACTAGATCCAGCTTCAACAGTCAATATGTAGCTGAAAGAAGGTCTATTTCCAAGTTCAAATCCCACTTCCTTTAGGTGAACAGTCCTGTTAAGTCAATACCAAAATAAATCAAACAGGTCGGCCCTGAGCACACAGCCCAAAAAACCTAGGGCTTGCTTTCAATTATCTTGTTTGCATTTGAAAGCAGTGACACTGCTCCTCTGAAGTGCCAGGAGTCAACAGGCACACAGATGTTTGCAGAAGGCAAAATTAAATTACCTCATGAATGCATCCTTTGGTTTAGTAGCTGTTTTACTGTACACTTACTCATGCTTCGCAGCTACACAAGCAGGTAAGAGGAGGTGTCCCCTTCTCGTCTGCCGGCAGGACTAGGATGCTAAGGTTTGAAAGTACTGCTGCCATGCAAAGGAAGAGAGCGCTCTCCTCCTTGTCCCTAGTGCACAGCTCTTACGGAGTACAACAATGAAAGGTACTAAAAAGCCAGACATCTGCATGCATCATTTGCATTAATTGGATTGCCCTTGTAATAGTCTTTCCCCTCCTACATATTCACATCTATACTTCCTCCTGCTTATTCACGCACATCTTAACACTTTTCATTCTGTTGAACACCATACGCATTTCTTCTTAATATTCAGACACATCTGTGAACAGGTGCTGAACAAATGCTAAGTGTTACCATACTAGCTTTCTGTCCCTTTTTTGTCAGTGTTCAGCAATCCAGAGGACAAGCACTCAGTTTGCAAGGTAGCTTTCAGATTTAAGAAAACTCACAAAATGTCTTAAAAAATAACCATCGACTCAGTCTATTCTCTACCTAGATCTACTGAAACCTGTTGTATCTACATTCAGGTGTCCAAAGGCAGCAAAAAGAAAGAATATAAGAACACTCTCCTATACATTTTAATCTCCACCTTCATCTCAGGTTTATAGTCCATTTAAGGTACAGCTGTGAGCATGACAGAAAAACTCAAGAAAGGCCTTAAAATATTTTATAATCAATGGATTGTCAGGAAGCCAAGACATTAGAGGAGCAGGAACTAAAGAATTTTTAAAGTGTGAAGACCACAGTAAGTGAATTCTACACCAGACATCAGGAAAGCCATTTCAGGGGGAACTGCAATGAGAGATAGGGAGAAAGCCAGGCTCTGGAGAGCAAAGCCCCTTTGGGCTCACTTCTAAAAAGCCCATAAATTCATAGCTCTTCACCTGTAAACCTATTCAGATCTGCAACCTAAGGGCTGTCAATATTTGCAGTTGAAATTCGGTTAGTTACATCTTCACATTTAAATAAGAAAACTCTCCAAGGAAAGATGTGTTTTATCAGCACCAGTACCAAGAAAAGTTCCTGTCACAGAACACCTTCTGCATACCAAAGAGGGGATGTCTGCCAGCCTGGCACTGTGGAGAAGAGAGGATGAATGTGGCAAACTCTGGAGCTCTGTGTTACCTCTGATCAGGAGTTTGGCACATATGTTGCTCTCCATATCCCAATTTCTTTACAGCTTCGCTTCCCTAGAAATACCAATGCTATTCGAGTTCACTAAGGACACTCTCCCTGTCTCTCTATACAGGGCACTAACATAACGGGATAGGGCTCGCTAACGGAAGCAACCTCCAGGATACTCCTGCTATGAATTGTGCTGCCTTTTGTTATGAGATACCTACAGATAACAACAGCCTTCAGGTGCCCATGTCCAGAATGACTCCAAATGACCTCATGGACTGGCCACACAAAGGTTCTGTGACCGTTTCTTTGTTATCTGGGCTTTCCAGTCCAGAAGATGGTAGACTGTGTAGAGCTGTTAGGCAGTCATCATCTCTGAAGAACAAGAAAGTACAAACTAGGAATTTATTAGTCTTGCACATTAGTCTTGCACATTACAAGTATTGTGAGTCGAGTTGACTGAATAATCACCACTGAACTGTTTATTCTCAGTTTAATACATTTTTTCAACTAACTTATTTGACAAGACCTTATTTTCACTTTCTTCGTAGAAGTCAGGGGGCAGATGTGCAATTAATGCTTCTAAAACTCTTTGAAATCCTAAATGAAAAGAGGGAAATACAACTATTGTTAATAAAATATCAAACATCACAGTGATGTACTTCAAAACTATAAGGAAAATATCAAAGAAAGAGGAAGGCTTTCAGAAGGTTGCTAGACAATTTTTTCCACATCCATTTCATCTATGTGACTAATTCTAATCCCTCCCAAGGAGTACTCTTTCAATGCAATATACATGCAGGCAGCACGCCTTTTTCAGAAATCCTGAATAACCTCCTCTTTCTAATTTCTTAGCTAGGAAACATATGCAAAAGTCACATTTAAAGGGAGGGTGGGTTCTTTGTTTCATAAGCTGCCCTC